GAGCCAAGTATCTGCATGCTGGGCATGCCAACGTCTGGGGTGAGATGATCTCTTCGCGGTGTACGAGCTCCTCCCCGGCGCGCATGCGTTGCGCCGGCAAGACCTCACGACGTGCCCCCGCGCGTTCTCCCGAGAACCCAGCGCCTGCAGGCAACGCAATCTTTGATTGGTCACCGTCAACAGGCAGGCCTCGCTTCTGACCGCGTTGGCCCGTCCAGCGCGCAACGGGGGTTTCTTCATCGCCACAAGACGCCCCCCCGCAAATCCCGCCCTCCGTCGTCGCGAGGTTGCACTGATAAGGCCCCGCTAGCACCGCGTCGCCCGAAGCGTCGTCGCCGAGCGGGCGAGGGGCTTCGAACCCAGGAGGGGGTACCGACTGCGAGAAAGCCTGCGTCCCGAGGTTCTAGAAATCGATATCGGCCCACTCGTCGAACTTCTGATCGAAGAGGAGCTTGAGGAGCGGGCAACCAGTAGGTGGAAGATACTGGAGCTCCTCAGAAGCCTCAAACCCGAACGCGAGGTCCTCCAGGTCCCAGGGCGAAGTAACCACCCCCTCGGAGCCCAGACGCCCAAACACTTGCCCGGGCTTGACGGTGCGCCTCGGGGTACTTGCTCCAGCTCCGATACCACCGCAATCCCCTCACCCCCAGCTCCTCGTCGCAAGAGAAGGTTCGCCGATGCGCCCACGCGCGCTCCGCCGACCAGCGACGGAGCCCCTGCTCGCCGTGATCCTCAAGGCCCAAGATGCCCATCCACCCCCCCGTCGCCTGCTGTAAAACCTGATCAGCTGACGCACGCAATCCCCCGCCAGAAATCCTCGCCTCCACCCCCGAGAGCAGTGCCGACTGAACGAACGCAACCGCTGCAGTTCTCTTCGCGCCCATCAGAGTCGAGTGTCTCAGGAACAACGTGATCTCACCAAGACCCACCCTTCAAGCCTGAATCCGATTCAGCTTTTCAACCTGAAGAGATCCGCTCGTCGCGGGCCAGCCCCCGAGCACTCCCATGAATATCCCCACTTTGCCACTGGTTCCGACGGCCCCGCTGAACAACTGCCTGCGCTGCCCAATAGAACCAGGACCTACGAGTTCGACCGGGGATGCCCTTTGTTTTCAGGGCCGGGGGCGACTCCGATCTGGGCCAGGGCCCGCCGTGAGCGATCGCTGCTGACGCGAGCAAGAGCCAGCTAATGGCGCGATTAACCTACCATGCGTTGCGGTGGCGAACCTGGCCCTGGGACAACGCGCTTGGCGATGTCATCCGCGACGAGGGGCAGGCCCGCGTCAGTCGTGACCCCATTCGGCTCTGTGACCAGAGCCATGGAGCAGGACGTCGCACGTTGACGAGTCTCGAAGGACGGCTCATATCCTCGTTGGTAGAAGCGTGGAAAACCACGCGCAGCGTTAGGATGGCCCGCGAAGTCGCTCGTGCTCGGGCGGTGGCATATCGTCTCGCCTGGAGCGATGAGTTAACAGGCCCTTTGAATGCTGCGCCGATGTTGAAACCGGACGTACTCAACCAAGTAGAGCAGGGGCAATGCCTCCACCATGATGTCACGCGATGCACTGGGAACTGCGTTAGTGGCATATTCGCTGACGACCGCGCGTGAGTAGCCTTGCCTTTGTAGTCTCCACGACGTACAACACTGACTGAGGATCGCGTCCTCCCGTCTACGCTTCTGTGCAAATCCACGGCAAACAGATGGTAAAGGTTCACGATGCCGGCGAGCTCTGACCCATAGATGTGCGTTCCACGCTTTGCCCAGCGGGCAGAATAAGCGCATCCACCCCTGACCCTCAACTCCCGGTTTGCCGCTGTGTCTGCCCGGGCCGCAGTGCGCAGACACGCTGCAAATCAGGGAGGCCGCCATCGCTCGTCGAAAACAAGCTAGCAAGTCCAGGACGCGCTCGTTAAACGCCGTGGCCAACGCAGGGCGCAAGTCCGCACCTGGGACACCTCCTCGAAATTTACCCCAACATTGTCCATCCACGAGCAAGAGCCACAGCTCAGATGGGAGAGACCAAGTCGGGGTAGCGCTACGCTTTGGAGCCCGTCGTAGCTGTCGTATAATCAAGTCCCGGCGCGCGTCCGATAAGTGTTCTAATTGCATAGCGTTGTGGCGCACCTCTTCAGAGACATCCCGACCATCCGCGCGAGGCCGATCGCATCTTTCCGCTACATCCTTTTGAAGGTCGCACTGGGAGGCACCCAGTCTGCCAGAGGTTGCGGGTCGATACAAAGACTCAGAAATGTCCCGGGCTTCGCTATTCCCGGACTTCAGCACGAAGCACTTCCAGCGTCGTGGCCCAGCCCCTCCCCTAGACAAGCGACGAATGACCTGCTGCACGTCGCAGTGGCCGCGCGGCTTCCAAGCCTCGTTCAGCTCGGCTGTCGGGGGTGCTTCTCTTTCCTTGTTTACCAATTTCGATGAGCGTTGAATACGATACGTAGCACGGGCAAGCTTGATCTCCACATCATATATCTGCCCCTAGCGGTCATGCGCAACGATGCTGCTGCCCCCTGAGTCGCTTCCTGGCCTTGAGTAGTGACGGCCTCTCCGTCTCCGGAAGCGGCAGCTCGCTCTCGCGGTTCGACTGCTCGTTGAAAATCGCGATCGCCTTCCCGACCACTGGGCTCGCTACAGAGTTCCATACTTCGTCGACGGTCGCCCTCGAGCACAAACTAATCCAATCTTCCTCGGAGATGGAGGTGGCCGTTGAGTGCATGGCCTCAATTGGCTCAGTGCAAGAAGCGTCGTTCGTAATAGTTTCCATGGTTCGGTCGTAATATCAGGAAGGCGGGCGGTCCACAAACTGCGCCTGAAAGTCATATCTGACGTCGATCAGCATCTGACGTAGTGCGCTTCCAGCCGCGCATTCAGCATCCGTGTCGAACGGGCCGATGCACGGCCACTCCTCCTCATCTTCGTCCTCAACAGGAATCGCCTCGCCTTTAAAAAAAGAAATCTCGAGCGTTGCCCAAGCCGTCGTTCAAGTCCATGCCAAGAATCGGAATGCACCTTCCCCCAACAGATTGCAGCAGTGTCCTTATACAAGACATCATTTTGTTGACAAAACGTCAATGTTCAGCGCGACCTGCTCGGACGCTCGAGTAGGCAGGACAGTTCAATAAAGCGAAAAGCACATCCATCGATCCCGACGTAAGTTCCCCTGCGCCGCATCTTCCTTCCAACTCCACGGGCGGGGCATAAAACTGTTTGGTAGAACGCTGAATGGGGAGCTTTTGAATGCAGCAAGATACTGGTTCCACAAGCCTTATCCGAGGACCTCGAGAAGCCAAATGATATTTCATAATGGCGAGAATGGCGAAACACTCGTTGTGGATCGCCAACCACCTTCGCCTGCCAGCCCCCTGCAACAAAACAGCTCCATCATTGCCAAATTCAGCTGAACCCCCTCCCCCACGCAAACCACACAAGTTGGCAGGATTGTAAGATACTGCAAGAACGTGCCCAAGAGATCTGGGGAGACCTGCGCCCATGGTGTTCGACATCATGTATTTTTGTAGCCGCCGCAGATGGCGGGAAGCCTGCGGCGGCAGCGGGCGTGGCCTCTCCCTATCACGAAGAGCGCGAGCCACACAAGGGAGTAACGAACATCGCTGCCTCTGAATGGAGTGCCCTTGCAGTTACAGTAGCTGCGAAGGAATGTGGGATTCAAGCCGCAGCAGCAGCTGGAGGAGGAGGAGGAGGAGGAGACTGCAAAAAGACTGTCTTCCCAACAAACAGATGGTAGAACGGTGAGAAGACCACGTTGGCCGCGACTCGCTGCCCAGCTAATCCTACAGTAGGAGTTCGACCACAAGAAACCTTCCACGAGAAACCCAACCCTGAGACCTCAGGACGCCCATTGGCTTTAAGTGTAAGAACTTCGCGCCTTCCTTAGCAAAACCGTCAAAACCCAACAAACCCCAGGCACCCTGGAGGCGAGCAGGGTGTTTCTTAGCATGGGCCTCCACTGTGTGCTCGACCGCACTGATCGGTCATCCCGGCGGCGAGCTGCCGACCCGCGGAACACCCCAAGGGCAGGCGCATAGCCCCACTGGGGGAGAGCTGCGCTCCTTACCCCCCAGGGGGGGACCAATCGACGACCTGTCGAGAGAAAGAGAGAGAGCTAGCGGGCGAAGAGCAACATAAATGGTCCTGGTTGAAAGCCCAAGCAAATGTAAGTGTGTACCGCGTTGCGGTAACCACTTTCGGTCGAGCTCCCTGTGGGGCCACGAAGCGCGTGAGGGGTGTGCTGTAATGGCGGTGGTGTGGAACGCATGCGAAGTGTGCCACAGGGGGCCTCAGGTGAAGCTCCCTGCGGACCCCATCGTATCGACGGCCCGTCGAGAGACAGCGGGCAAAGAGCGGCATGAAGTAAACGTTTTCGCCGTCGGGGGGGGCGCCGCCGGCCCCCCCCCCGCCAACCAGCCACCACTGGGGGAGCTGCGCTCCTTACTCTGCAGAGGGGACTCCATCGTACCGATCGACGACCTGACGAGAGTTAGCGGGCGAGCAACGTAAAATAAATATTTTCGCCGTTTGGGACGCCTGTCCCAGGGCGGCCGGAAAGTCTGGACACCTACGGTGGCATGGTACAAACTTCCCAAGCGCCCTCGGTGACGGACAAAAACATGGTATACCGTCCTTCGCCCGCTACGAGTGGGGAAACCAAAAGGTACCCATACCGCTACTCCCCAGGCCTCTCCCAGGGTGCGTTCAGACTAGAATTGCGATGCGAATCCAGCGGTGACGACGGGGGCCTCCCAGGAGGCCCAAAAAGGAGAGAGAGAGAGAGAGAGAGAGAGACAGAGAGAGAGAGAGAGAGCGAGCGAGCGAAGCGAGCGGTGTGGGTACCCGTGCCTACTCTGAGTCGAGGCCGATGGATCCCCCAGGGAGGGACGGGCCGCAGCTCCCCCCCCGGTGAAGGCCCCTCTGCCCCGAGCCCCTCTTGGCCGCGCAACGGGGCGACGCGGGGCGACCCGGGGGGCGGCTCCGCGGCTCGTGCGCCCCCGGCGGCGCCGCCCACGCTCCAGGCGCCGCCCGCGCGCAGCCCGAGCGCCTCCAGGGAGGCTGTGATGGGCTGTGGCAGGAGGAGTGGAGCAGGCTCCCCCGCTGCCAGCAAAACGCAAGGACTTCCTTTTAAGTTATAGTGAGAGGGAGAGCCCCAAGTCTCCATGGGCCTGCTCGATGCTCTCCTCCTTGCGACGTCCAGGAGCGGCACCACAGCACCGCTTCCCTGGGATCCTGAGACCCATGCAGAGGCGGCAACTCTACACATGTCCAGGGAGGAGACAAAACAGGAGCCACTCGGCGAGATCCATCGACTGCCGCGCGATTCAGGAGCGCACTGGGTCCCAGGCAGAGGAGGCCCCCGCTTCAGGAGACACTGAGCACGCGTGATGGCCCCCTTCCCCTGCCAGAGGAGGGCGGCTGGAGAGGAGAGGGGGAGAAGGGAGGAGCAACACCTGAACCGCGACACGAGGATCCATACACGGTCGTCCGCCGACGAGCTTCCCCCAGTGCCCTCAGGGGAGCTGGCGACGTGTAATACCGCTGGCTGCTAGTGGTGCTTTGTACACAGCCACTCTCCCCATGAGGCCCAGTAACAATCCACTGCGGTGTGTCTATGCATGAACCTCGTAAACCACCCTTCGGGTGATGAGGTTTCTGAGGGGACGTACTCTTTGACTTACAGTGGACGCACAATTCAACTCACGAGTGGACTCACATCGGGATATCCAGATTGATCTTCATCTGCCTAGGTACCGATATGGCTCTGCCCAAATACACATGTACGTATGTGGAAATGCGTCTCACAGATGAGGCCCCCCTGAACCGCGCAAAGCATGAAATCGCAGAATCGGTCGCTTCAAGAAGCTGCACACTCAGTTCGTTCATCTGTTTTGGTATGTGCACGAAACGCACCTTAGCGTGTGATCCTGGCTGAAGAGCGGTTTACTACAGGAGTCCTCCCTAGGGTTCTCCATTGTCCAGGGACATGTACTAAGGATGCCCTGTTTTAAACCAAAAACCTGACTATCAACTCCTTCCATACAGAGATCGTTACAGAGTATTTTTGTTGTGCGAAAGGAGACATTACGAACAATCCCATAATGAAGGGCATCCTGGCGAATGATGATTTACTTCAGGAGCTCAGATTAAAGAAAGAGTTATGGGGGCTCCTCACTGAGGGGTGTGAACAGCAGCGAAACACTGTGTATGTTTGCTCTTGGCTTGAAAAGCTCAAGTGCTCACAGCGGTTTCCCCTAGCACCCCGCCGAGAGCTTCCAAAACCAAAACACCAAGCATACACAACACTGGCACGTCAACAACAATTGTATAACACACACACACACACACACGCACACGCACACGCACACGCACACGCACACGCACACGCACACGCACACGCACACGCACGCACGCACGCACGCACGCACGCACACACACACACACACACACATCCAGCCATTTGCTTATTCCAAGGAAAATTTTCCTAGCAAGCAACCAGCCCATATGCAATTGTGAATACCGCGCTGCGTTTACCGTTTTCATTGGAACTCCCTATTGGGCCGCGGAGCGCGTGTGGGACGAACCGTACTGGTGGCGGCGTGGAACACATTCGGACTGTGGCACTGGGGCCTTAAAAGGAGCTCCCTATGGGGTCGCGAAACGTGTGAGAGATGCGCCGTAATGCGCCCGGTCTCCACATTCGAATGTCGCCACAGGAACTTTCGGGGCTTGAGCCTTCAATAAAGTTCCCTCCGGGGCCACCAGGCGCTGTACTGTGCGAAGGGGGAACATGCAGCCGCGGCCATTGGGGACTTCGGTGGGGCTCTCTGCGGGGCTACGAAACGCTGTACTGTATGGGGGGGGACGCATGCGGCCACGGCCAGTGCGGCCTTACGTGGAGCTCCGAGTGGGGCCACGAAGCGCTGTATTGGGTGGGGGGGGCGCACGTGGACCCTGCCACTGGGGCACTCGGTGGAGCTCCCTGTGGGGGCAGGAAACGTGTGAAGGGTGTGCCGAAATGAAGCAGGAAAACGTATCTGGACAGTCTTCCTAGAGGGGGTCCCCCCCAGGCTTGCAAAATGTAGGAGGAAGATACGTATGTATGTATATGTAATGATGTGTATATGTATGTCAGTTTGTGATTAACAAATCCGTGGGGGGCGAGCGTTAAAACAAATACTTCTCCTGCTCGGGCGATTCGCGGGGTGGCGCCCGCCAAATTGAAAATCAACGGGGCGGCGCCGGTGATTAGCGCCGACGCCCGGCCGCCAACGAGGGGCAAGGGGGGGCGTTTGGAGGTAAGGGCGAGCCGGGGCGCCCCTATTTCTGTCGAACCGATGTGGGCCTGCGGGCAAGGCGGGCTGGACGAAAGTGGGGGCAGCAAAGGGGGGATTAGCCAAGCAGCTCACATCGCCGATTTTCCAAGCGCCTCCTGGCGCCGAAAGCGGCCATGCGTCGAGGACTGGCCTTTCGGCGGGGCGACCGAAACCAGCTGAGAGCGGCAGGCTTCGCAACCCCCTCTTCCCTTCCCCAGCCTTTCGCCCGACCCGAGCAAGGCGGGTACTCCTCCTCCCCCCCTAGATCGCCGTCGTCGCCGCCGTCCCGCGCCCTGCCTGCGCCCGTTTCCAGCGGCCGCTCTCTTCGTCGCTCGGGCCTGAGTGTCTTTCGCCACCTCCTCCTCCTCCGCCTCCTCCTCCTCCTGCTCCCCCTCCTCCTCCTCCTCCTCCTCCTCCTCCACCCCTCCTCCTCCTCCTCCTCCTCCTCCTCCTCCTCCTCCTCCTCCCTCATCATCATCATCATCATCATCATCATCATCATCATCATCATCACCATCATCATCACCATCATCACATCATCATCACCATCATCATCACCATTATCATCATCATCATCATGATCATCATCATCGTCATCATCATCATCATCATCATCATCATCATCATCTCTCTCCTCCTCTTCTTCCTCGTCCTCTTCCTTTTTCTCCTTCTCCCCCCTCCCCCTCTTCTCTCCTCCTCCCCCCTGGCGCGCGTGATGACAAAAAACGAAAACAAAAAAACGCGCCCCGCGGGCTCTATTCATCAACCCCGGGGGAGGGGTCTGGCCATTTGCTGATCACAGGCTGACGTTATATATATATATATATATATATCCCAGTGGCAGAAGCGCAGAGCGAACTCCCACCCAGACGCCGTTGTCCGAGTGGAAAGCACCGCGCGTGTCGCCCGGAAAAAGAGTGTAGGCAGCTAGCGGCCTGACATCTCCTCGTCGTCGTCGTCCTCCTCCTCCTCCTGCCGGGATCAGGAAAGCCCCCTTCCTTCTCTCGCGGCCTCTTTGAGCAGCCTGACATGGTCCATATTGTCGAAAGAAACTCGTCGCCCCAGTGCGTGGGAAGATGATGATGTGTGAGATGGCGCCAATACATTGCTAAGCCGGGATTCCACCAATTGAACCTTGGTCTCCCCGCCCGCCTCGTTCCGTAATCTTTGAGTCGTAGCGTGTCACTGTGGATGCAAATGTCTGAGATGGGATCGGAAGATTGCGCAGTAATGACTTCGACGATCAGCATTCGCCGTCGTTGTTCATAGTACTCGCTGATGGGTATGATCTCCTTAATCGGCCGGAAACCTCGGACATTGCCCCTCGCTCTATCTACCCATCTGTTGTTCACTACTTCGTTAGCACGGCGAAAAACAAATTCGTTAGTGTTTGCCCTGTTCACGCATGTTGTCTGAAGCTTCAGAATTTGCCGCAAGCCTTTCAGCTGGAACGCGTCTATTTTCTTTTTGAGTGCATCGTTGACTTGCACAGACTCTAATCCGTAAATAAATTTAGAACGAACAACGGCGTCGTAAACACCCAGCTTAAGCCTTACGCTGCAGTCGGCGTGCTTCCAAAACGCCCCTAATTTCTTCCATGTCACAAAACAATCGGAAATCCTCTAGTTCACCTCTCTGACAGGGTCGCCTTTGCCGTTTAACATGCAACCCAAATCTTTCGCCTCACTGTGCGGAGGCACTGACTGCCCACTTCTGAAGGAAATGGTATCGTGCCCCCCTACGCACAAAGCTTCACATTTGGTTTTGTTTAATACCATGCCGTACTTGTCTCCCTCCCTCTCGATTGCGTGCAGCAGTTCTTGCAGGGCCTCATTGTCCTCTGAGAAAATTATGGTGTCATCCGCATAGAGGACCTCATCCAGTAGGGCGTCCAGTACCCTGTGGTGTCTCAATTTTTCACGCAGCCCGGGCGTGCTATGGACGCCCCTGAACATAACTGTCATAACGATGAGAAAAAGGTATGGGGACAGGGGACAGCCTTGTCGGATGCCCGCATGCTGGCGGTGCCATTTCGATGTTCTGCCCTTCATTTCAACGTGGAATTGTAGATTTTTGTACGCCTCTTGTGTGAGCCGAATGAGTTTCTCGTGGATGCCGATCCTTTCCATAGCTTTGAACAGCCCAGCGTGTGATACCTTGTCGAATGCTTTCTCCCAGTCGAGCAAGACCAGATTGATTTTTCTGCCCGTCCGCTCTCCCAGATCCAAAATCCGACGTATGATGTGAACTGCATGTGCCGTTCTCCGGTTCTTCCGGAAACCGTACTGGACCTTTTGGAGGTACGGGTCGATTGTGGTAGCTATGCGACGTTGCAGCACGGCTGCGAAGATTTTGTACATGAAGTTCAATAGAGAAATCGGTCTGTAATTGCTCAGATTGCCAGTGTCTCCTTTTTTTATAAATCAGAACGATTATTGCCTTTAGTTGCTCTTCTGGTATACGCTCCTCCCTCCACCAAATGTCCAGCTCCGTAAAGATGAGAGTAAGCATTTCGTCGTCCATCTCCTTGAACATTTCCATCGGGACTTCGTCTGGCCCCGGTGCCCTGCGCCTTTTGAATTTGCGAATTACTTCCCAGAGCTCGGGCAATGATATGGTTTCCGTGTTGAAGTTCAGAGGCTGTTCGACAATCCGGGGGCCCTCAAAAACCTCCGTTCGTTCATCCTCCCTCGCCGGCCAGATCTGTTGCTCAAGATGCGTGGCCGCTCCTTCAGCCTTGTCAGATACTCGGACCGTTTTTCCGCTTGAGTCTTTCTGGGTATAGGGGAGGGGCTTGTAATCAGACTTCAGATGCCGAGTACCACACCAGCGATCTCTTAGATCTAGGTCTTTGCTCACAGACGCAAGTATCCTCTCTTTGCGTTCTTTTCTCTTCTGTCTTTGGACAGCCCGGTTCAGCTCTTGAGCCCTTTCGACATTCATGTCTATGAGCGCCTGTCCGCGTGCTTCGATGAGTCGCAGCAGCTCCGTGGATATGCCGATGTTATCGCGTTTCACTTTTTCCATCGGTATTTCTTCCCTCGCGACGCTCAGCGCTGTCTCAAGGAAGGAAGCGTTGCTCTGGGAGGGGGCCGTGGCATTTTTGAGCCGTTGGTTAAACTCGTGCCTTTGCGTGAGGCTGCACTTCTCAAATTTGTCTCTGGTGCGGTTCTTAATGAAAGCCTGGGCTTTCAGTTTTACTTTAATTTTAGCGTTTATGGGCATGTGGTCAGAATCAACGTTGGCCACCGGGTCACTTTCGCAATCAGTCACGCTGTTTTTCCACCTGTTAGGGACCAATAATATATATATATATATATATATATATATATATATGTGTGTGTGTGTATATGTATATGTATGTATATATATGTGTATTCATGTGTTTAGGTACATTCGTACACACATACAGACAGGCATACAACAAGAGATACACACATCTATAAGTGTATACATACACATGTATATGTGGCGGCGGATGCATGCCCGAGCGCGCCGAGGGACGGGAAACGGAAGGGCAAGAGCAGGCGGACAACAGGAGCAACCCAGTTCTGCGATGAGAGACCCGGTCGCGAGCACCGGCACGCGCGCGCAAGTGCGGGTAGCGAGGTGGCGAAGAAGCAGGCGCACGGCACCACCAAGACACAGCCGGAGGTGGGCGAGGCGTGCTGAGCAGCAGAGATGTCAAGCCCTGGAGGCATCAGGGGGTCTCGGCAGTAGAACAGCCGTCGTCGTCGTCGTCGTCGTCGTCCATCGTATTCCGTATTCGTTGTTGTTCGTCGTCGTCGTCGTCGTCGTCGTCGTCGTCGTCGTGGTCGTCGTCGTCGTCGTCATTGCAGCGCCTCCCCATCGGATTCCCCTGGGACTCTGGTCAAGACTTCTCAGCCAACTCTAAGCAGGCTACAAGGCAGGGCTCCTCCCGTGTGGTCATCCCCGCTCCCGGCCCACCGCAGAAGGGGGCGGGGGCCTCCCAGTGCCCCGAGAAGCCCCTGGGAGGGCCCCCGCGAGACTCAAGAGCAACCCCGCCAATAAAAACATGTTGACAGATAAGGTTCCTGAACATTCTAAAGGCCCTCACGCCCCACACCCCACACAACAGACGGCAAGAATGCCTCCAGGATGATCCAAGAGGGTCCGCAGTAGCCCAAGAAGGCCCCAAGAAGATGGAAGACGGCCCCAAGGAGGCCCGAAAATGTCCCACAGGAGCCCAGGACAGCTCCAAGACGGCCCCAAAAGAAGCACCAAAATGACCCACGTGATCCCTGGTTGGGCGTCCAATAATGCCCCCAGAGCCCCTTCCCGAAACACACACACACACACGGGACAAACCACAAGCACAAGCACACACACACACACAAGAGGCGGGTTTAGGAGCCCTGCCCATCAAAATTTACCCAGCGGCTGTGGAAAATCCGCCAACGTGCTTGCAAAGCTCTCCGTGTGGCGATCTTTCGAGCACCGCCCAGAAGGCCGATACACGTGACACCCCTCGTCTCTCACGCGGGGTCGGCGGCGTTAAAACACGACCTGGGCACAGAGATACACACGACGTATATCCTTAACATACATACAGAGACGTGTATATATATATATATACATACACATACACAGGCATACATGTGCAAAATAATGCATTGTGAACCGAGAAGACCCTACGCCACCCAGCAGAGACTCCAGAGACTCCTCCTCAGTGCTCCTCCTCAATGACCATCCTGCGTCTCCGCCCCCCCGGACGGAGAGAGAAGGAGAGAGTGAAAGTGAGAGTGAGAGCGAGAAAGAGAGAGATAGATAGAACAGAGAAAGCAACACATACCCGGGCGAAAGACCAAATTAACCGTTGTGGGTACGCTTTCGGTGGAGCTCCCTATTGGGCCGCGAAGCGTGTGAGGGTGCGCCGAAATAAGCGCGTGGACGCATGCGGGCCCTGCCACTAGGGCCTTCGGATGGTCTCCCTGTAGGGCCGCAAAACTTGTGAGGGGTGTGCCGAAATAAGTGGGGAACCGCATGCGAAACCACCCTCCTGGGGACTTTGGTGAAACTCCATATGAGGCCACGAAGCGTCTGAGGAATGTGCCGATATGGGTGGAGAGCCGCATGCGAAATCCCCCTCCTGGGGGCTTCGGTGGAGCTCCGTATGAGGCCAATTAACGTCTGACTGAGAGGTGCGCCGGAATGGTCGGGGGACCGCATGCGACCCCCCCCCCAAAGGGCGTCGGTGGAGATCCATACGGGACCACAGAATGGTCGGGGAAACCGCATGCGACAACCCCCCCTGAGCACTTCGGTGGGCCTACTATGGTGCCACGAAACATATGAGGGGTGTGCTGCAATGTTTGGGGGGCCGCACGCGACACATGTCCTCCTGGGGGCTTCGGTGGAGCTCCCTGTGGGGCCAAGAATCGGATGAACCGTATGAGGGGTGTCCCGAAATAGCTTGGGGGACCGCATGCGAAACCACCATCCTGTGGGCTTAGGTTGAGATCCTTGCGGGCCCCGAGGAGAGAGAGAAAGAGAGAAAACAAACAAGTAAGGAAAAACAAACAAATGAAAGATATAACAAGAAACAAAAAAACAGAGGAGGAGGAGGAAGAGGAGGAGGAAGAGGAGTGGGGAGAAGGGGGGAGGGCAAGCTAGGTGCGCTCGCGTCATATCTGACATCCTACCCCTCCCTCCCATCCCTTACCATGGCGTAGATCCCCTCTCTACTCGCACAGTCGGATGTCGAGCAGGGCAATGATCGCGAAAGGGTACGCGATGCATTGTAGAGCACGGCATGGCATGGCGTAGAAGAGCACCGCAAAGCGTAGTATCAACCTAGCATTGCATTGCATGCCGTGGCATGGCACGGGAAATGACGCCAACGCTGCAGCGGGAGCACGAGTCGAAACGAGCGGAAGCGCGGAAATGAGGCCAGCGCTGCAGCGGGAGCACGATTCGGAACGAGCGGAAGCACGGAAATGAGGCCAGCGCTGTAGCGGGAGCACGATTCGGAACGAGCGGGGCCCGAAAATGAGGCCGGCGCCTCAGCGAGAGCAGCATTTTGAACAAAAATGCAAGCGAAAACCCAACACCCGGGAATCCTGTGTAAAAAACAGTACGCGGGGGGGGGGGGTCGAACACTCCCAGCACGTCATCAGGGGAAGAGGGAGAGTAGTATTCATATTGAGTAATTGTGGAAGGAGGGAGGGAGGGAGGAGGGAGGAGGAAGGGAGGGAGGCGGGAGGAGCACCTCCAGCAGACTGAACGAGGCCGTCCCCTGCTTGGGGGATCCGCAGTCGGACGGGGCCTCGGCCGCGCGCCGCTCCCCTGGGCCGCCGACCTTCCGCCCATAGGTCCACTTCTCCTCCTCCTCCGACTGGAGCCTGTATAAAGGCCTGGCCTGGCCGATGTCTCAGGCGAAACCTTGATTTTCTAAAAATCAAGGTTTCGCCTGTGACATCGGGCAAAAACAATAGGGGAAAAGTGAAAGTTTGGAGGGTGTCTCAAGCGAAACCTTGGTTTTTTGAAAATCCAACGTTTTTTTTTGTTCGCAGGACTTTCTCGGGCCGTCGGATTCCCCCAGAAATGAAAATCCAAAGGATTATCAAATAATCAAGGTTTCGCTTGAGACATACTCAGAAAAGTAGCCTTCCACCATCACTTGTTGACAGATGTCTCAGGCGAAACCTTGGTGTTTGACCTTAACCTTATTGAAAATCAAGGTTTCGCTTGAGACATCGGGCAAAAACCAGTAGGGGAAAAGTGAAAGTTTGGAGGGTGTCTCAAGCGAAACCCTGTTTTTTTTAAATCCAAATGTTTGTTTTTCGCCGGACTTTCTCGGGCCGTCGGATTCCCCCAGAAATGAAAATCCAAAGGATTCTCCAATATTCAAAGTTTCGCTTGAGACATCCTCAGAAAACCAGTTTTCCATCATCACTTTGTGCCTGATGTCTCAAGCGAAACCTTTGTTTTTATATTTAACCTTATTGAAAATCAAGGTTTCGCTTGAGACATCGGGCAAAAACAATAGGGGAAAAGTGAAGATTTGGAGGGTGCCTCAAGCGAAACCTGGGTTTTTTGTTTGAAAATCCACCAGATTTGTTTTTGTTTTCCGCCGGATTTTCTCGGGCCGTCGGATTCCCCCAGAATTGAAAATCCAAAGGATTCTCCAATAATCGAAGTTTCGCTTGAGACATCCTCAGAAAACCAGCTTTCCACCATCACTGTTTGCCTGATGTCTCAAGCGAAACCTTTGTTTTTGAGGTGATCTGTACAAAAATGAAGATTTCACTTCAAACATCGGGCAAAAAGCAATAGAGAAAAGCAAAGTTTGAAGGATATCTCAGCCGAAAGCTTGGTTTCGAATATAAAAATCTGAATACGTTTTCAAAGACGGCAGACTTTCACTCGGCCTGGGGTTCTCGAAACTAAAAGTTCTGAGAATGTCTCAGGCGACAGTGGCTGGACCACTTTGGGGCGAGGCATCTCCAGAATCAAAGTTGTCACCATATCTTAAGCGAAAATGGTTCTTCCTCCCTGCCTTTCCCTGCGTTTGATTTCCTTCTCTCTTTCTCGTCCCTTTGCCTTTCCTTCTCCTCGTCGTTGCTCCTCCTGATCCTCCTCCTCCTCCTCCTCCTCCTCCTCCTCCTCCGCCCCCTCCTCCTTCTCCTCCTCATTTTCCCCCATCCACCTCCCCATCCCCCTCCCTCTCCTCCTCCTCCTCCGCCTCCTCCTCTCCCTCCTCCTCCGCCTCCTCCTCAGACTCCGACTCCGACTCCGACTCCGACTCCGACTCCCACTCCTCCAACTCCGTCGACTCCTCCTCCGTTTCATCCTGATCCTCCTCCTCCTCGTCCTCCTTCTCTTCCTCGTCTTCCTCCTCTTCTTCCTCCTCCTCCTCCTCCTCCTCCTCCTCCTCCTCCTCTCCTCCTCCTCCTCCTACTCCCCTCCGCGGTCACCTCCTCCTCCTCCTCCTCCTTTTCCGCATTCTCCTCCTCCTCCTCCTCCTTCTCCTCCTCCTCCTGCATCTCCTCCTCCTCCTCCTCATCCTCCTCCTTCTTCTCCTCCGCCTTCTCCTTCTCAGTGTCCTTCTCCTCCTTCTCCTTCTCAGTGTCCTTCTCCATCTCAGTGCCCCCCTCCTCCTCCCCCTCGTCTTCGTCTGTTTCGTATTATTATTCTTATTATTCTTATTCTTCTTCTTATCGTTAATATTATTATTATTATTATTATTATTATTATTATTATTATCATTATTATTATTAGTATTAGCATTATCATTATTACTATTATTATAGTAGTAGTAGTAGTAGTAGTAGTAGTATTATTACTAGTAGTATTATTAGTATTATTATTATTATTCTTAGTATTATGATTATTATTATAATTAATATTATTATTATTATTATTAGTAGTAGTAGTAGTAGTGGTAGTATTAGTATTGTTATTATTCGCTGTATTATTATTACCATTATTATTATTATAATAATAATTATTATTATTATTTCTAGTATTATTATTATTATTATCGTTCTTCTGTATCCTCCTCCTCGTCCTCCTCCTCCACCTCCTCCTCATCCTGCTCATCCTCCTCCGCCGTCGCCTCCTCCTCGCCCTTCTGCTCCTCCTCCTCCTCCTCCTCTTCCCTCTCCTCCTCCGCCTCATCATCAGCATCATCATCATCAGCATCATCAGCATCATCATCAACAGTAGCACCATCATCATCAGCATCATCACCATCAGCATCATCATCAGCATCATCATCATCATCATCAGCATCATCATCATCCTTCTCCTCCTTCTTCTCCTCCTCCTTCTTCCTCCTCCTCTTCCTCCTCCTCCTCCTCTCTCCTCCTCCTTCCTCCTCCTCCTCCTCCTCCCCCTCCTCCTCCTCCCCCCCCCTCCTCCTCCTCCACCTCATCCCTCCTCCTCTCTCCCTCCTCCTCCTCCCTCCTCCTCCTCCTCTTCCTCCTGCTCCTGCTCCTGCTCCTGCCTGCTCCTCCTCCTCCTCCTCCTCCTCCTCCTCCTCCTCCTCCTCCTCCTCCTCCCCTCCTCCTCCTCATCCTCCTGTTCCTGCTCCTGCTCCTCCTCCTCCTCCTCCTCCTCCTCCTCCTCCTCCCCCTCCTCATCATCTCCTCCTCCACTCCTCCTCCTCCTCCACTCCTCCTCCTCCTCCTCCTCCTCCTCCTCCTCCTCCTACTCTCCATGATTATCAGCATCATCAGCATCGCCATCAGCGTCATCATCATCATCATCATCAGCATCATCCTCCTCATGATCATCATCAGCATCAGCATCATCAGCATCACCATCATCAGCTTCATCAGCATCAGCATCGTCATCATCGTCATCATCAGCATCATCGGCATCATCAGCATCATCAGCAGCAGCATCAACATGACCATCGGCATCATCATCAGCATCAGCGTCCGCATCATCATCAGCATCAGCGTTATCAGCATCAGCACCAGCAGCATCATCGTCGCCATCATCATCACCATCATCATCATCATTAACAACATCATCATCGCCATCAGCATCATCAGCAGCATCATCATCAGCATCATCATCCTCATCATCATCATCATCAGCATCATCATCATCATCGTTGTCACAATCAGCATCATCATCACCATCATCATCATCATCATTATCATCTCTCGAGCGCGAAAGATACCCGTACCCTTACCTAGACAGGGTGGCAAGGGGCCGGGGGGGCGGTTCGTCGCAGCTGACGGCGGCTGCACAAGTGTAGAAACGACAGCCGATCGAGCATTACAGACCGCTGCACTCTCGGGGCGCACGTTAGCACCGATCGCACGTGCGTTCGAATTGGCGGAGTGCCCGACCCTGCGTTGGTTGTTGTCGATGTAGACCAGCTACTGCGGAGGCGCGCCCCCAGACACACATCCGGGCGTTGAGGAGTCAACGCGCACTCGGGGGCGCATGCGAACAACTCTGGCGCGAACGTCATTGCGCGACAACCGCCCTATCGCGAATTGCTCGATGCAGAGACATCGCGAATCTGTGCCCTGGGCGAGGTCGCCAGAGGCCGCCCCCCTTGGACGGCCGTCTGCGGATCACCCCAGCTAGGTACGGTTGCCCCATGAAAACCCCCAAAAAACATACCCGTACCTAGCCGGGGTGCCGCAGCTCACCCCAGCTAGGTCCGGGTATGTTTCGGTGGTTTCAGGCAGGTCCCCGTACCTAGCCGAGGTGGCGGCAGGCCCAAAACGCTCTCGAGCACATATCATGCCCTCCAGAGCCGTCCCCGACGTGGCCGCTGCGGCCCCCTGGGGGCGCGACATTGCAACGTCGTTCCTCAGGGCAGGCCCAGACGCATTGGTTGCCAGGATAGCGAGGAAATGCAACTGTTTATCGATTGGGACAGGCGCCGCCACATATGGGCGGCTTTGAACCGCGCACGCACCACGATGCCCCGAGACGTCCCTAACAAAAACCAGCGCTTGTCGCTGCAATCAGACACCCAACCATCGAGCGCGCCGTTGCGTCTTGACGCGCGGATGCTGCACTGGCGCGCGCGGGGCAAGCTAACCGGGCACAATAGCAAGCGCCCAGTCCCCCGGACGGCCCATCTCACCTTGGCTGGCCCCGGTACGGGTATCTTTCGGACCAATGATCATCAGCATCATCATCGTCGTACGCATCTTCGTCAGCATCATCACAAGCAGCAGCAGCATCATCGCCATCAGCAGCAGCATCAACATAAGCATCAGCATCATCATCAGCATCAGCGCCCGCATCATCAGCATCACCAACATCATCAACATCATCATCAGCATCACCGGCATCATCAGCCGCATTAGAAGCATCGATATCAGCAGCATCAACATCATCATCAGCAACATCATCCTCATCATCAGCCGTGTAATTAGCATCATCAGCATCACCATCACCAGCATAACAGCATCATCATAATCAGCAACAACATTATCATCAGCAGCAACCTCATCGTCATCGGCATGCAGAGCATGATCATCAGCATCCTCAACCCATCATCATCAGCATCATCAGCATCAGCATCATCAGCACCCGTACCATTACCAATATCATAAAAAACATAAGAAACAGTAGCATCGTCAACATCAACATCAGCATCAGCATCATCATCCTCAGCATCACCATCATCACCATGCTCATCATCCTCAACGTCATCATCATCACCATCATCAGCATCATCATCAGCAGCAACAGCATCAGAATCATCATCAGCAGCAGCGGCATAATGATCATCATCATCATCCTCATCATCAGCAGCAGCATCAGCATCGGCATCACCATCGCCGTCAG